AGATCCAAAGTAGGTTGCATGTGAACTTAGGAATTGTTTTCTAGGTTATTTGTTTTACCTAAAACCCATCACCTTCGACCCGCTAAACATGGTGAGGAAACTCACCTCAGTCCGCTGATAGCCGAATAACTGCTCGAACCGCTCAATCGGATAACCCCATGCCAACTAACAATAAATACAATCTTAATCAATAATTAACCCAAAATCCGAGGCCCACTCCATAAACCAACATCCTAAAGGGTAAAAGACCATTTTACCTTTTTCTTACTTGTTTCATAACCAATGTCCAGCTCAAATGTACAAAAGCCTAAAATGGCAACCCAATGACCAAATCAAAAGCAACAAAAGCCCATTATGGCCCAATAACCCGATTGGGCCCCAAAACCATCATGAACCTACTTCCAAGAAAACCCTAAGTCCATCCATGGCCCAAAGTCAGAAGTCCAATGACCTAACAAGGCACAATCCTCAAAAAGTCCAAAATAACAAGCTGGGGAGTACGCTCCACACACCAGAATGGTACGCCCCGCGTACTCACCCTTGAAGCACAGAGTACAAGCGACTGATGCAGAAAACCTTCATTACGATGAGCGTACTTCCTGCGTACACCCAACGTACTCATCAAGGACCAAAAATCCATATTAGGCTCTTAATGATTAAGCCAATGACTTCCAAACTCATATATGACCTTAATGAGATGTCTTAACACATAAAGTTGGAAACTTTACTCCTTTGCATGGCTTAATGGGACCAAATCCTTAATAACATCCACAATAAACATCCAAACTCATGCATGGACTTAAATAATTCATCAAGATAACACTTTTATGAACAAGGGACCTCCCAAAGGCCAAGATCCAACATTCTAAGCTCTTGGAGTAGTTCATACTCACACGGATTACTCTAAGGACCAAAACGAACCCAAAATACTACTTAAACTAGATCTAACACTTAGAGTCATCAAGATAGAAACTTTATACCTCCAAAATGTAGATCAAGATGCAACAAGCCTGGATCCAAAAGCTTCAAGCAATCCCATAGTTCTCCAAGAAGTTCCTTCTTCTTCTATGAACACCAAAAAGCAAGAAATACCACCAAAAGCTCAAAAACCACTCAAATGGGGGACAGGGTTTCGATTTTAGGGTTTAGAGGGATGGAGGCTGAAGATAATAGGGTTTGGTGGTGAGTTAAGGAGCTTAGATAAGGTCCAAGACCCTAAATTAGGGTTTGGGTCTGACTGGAGTACGCCCTGCGTACTACTGGTACGCCCAACGTACTCTATAAGGCATGCATGATCATTTTCCTTAGTACGCTCAGCATACTCCAATGTACACCCCGCGTACCGACCTTCTCACTAGTACGTCACGCGTACACTTGTGTACACCCCGCGTACTCGGTTAAACCCTAAAATCACCAAACATCCGAAGGCCATAACTTTTTTGTTATAAGTCCATTTCCGACGATCCTTATATCCACGAAAAGGTAACGAGAAGGTCTATGCTTCTATCAACTCATAATTGCCTTAAAACTTCCCGAATTAAAATCCAATTTCCATAAAAGCCCTAATTAACACTTTACCGAAATACCCCTTGGCTCCAAAACACAAACCAAACTCCCGGATCATCTGAATTACATTACCCACACTCAAATAGGTCTAAATCCATTTTCCTCAAAGGCCCTTAGCCTGATGATACCTGATTTTCGGTCACTACCTCGCATTAGGAAACGATTCGGAACACGACGTTATACATGTGACACATGGCACCTTTTAGAAGGTGGGTATGTGGACCACCAATATCGCGACACGTAGCAGAAGCCCAAAGGAGCCAACATGGCCATAGGGCGCGACGCGCATCCATACATGTGTGACGCGCTTGACCTTTTTATGCTATAAATACTCGTCTATATGCTTCAACCCTCATAACCCTACAAGCCTTCTCTCTCGAGTATTCCAACCTTTTAGGCCATTTTCCCTTAGTTTTTGTCTTCCGGCGAATCCCTGCAACCTCTGAGGTATTCAACCAAGTAGTAGCCATCAAGTAGGAGCCCTACGAATGCGATTTTCAGACTTTGGTTAGGAGGAACCTCTGTAAGTTAAGCTACACTCTAGTTCTTTCAGTGTAACTTATATTTATAGTCATAAGTCATTATTATGAACCTATAAATAAGAACTATCAGTAATTCCAAGTTATAATACTGATTTATCTACTTACGGGAGAGGTGACTAGAATGGTCATATTCGCTTGGTTGTTGGATTTCAGAAAGGCTACATACCGAAATGGTCCTGCCTCCCAACTGTCCTGCATGGCTGATCCTTATTTAATAGAACTGTTAGTATTTATTAGAATGATTGATATGTCTAGACTATCATTAGAAACGTTAGACTAAGACTTAGTGATATTGATACTATGTCAAGTTAAAATAAAGGTCAAGTGCTAGAAGCGAAGCACTACACGAGTTTCGAATCATCACTTTAACAAGTGAGTGCATAGTAACTTCGACTTACACATAGATATGAAGTATCTAGATGATAATATTCTAAATGTGACTATTATCTGTACTTTCTGATATATGTGTTAGATGAAATATTATAACATGATTTTATTTGATTTAAACGTGTGTGTGTATTGATAAGATGAGAGGCTTTGACTTTATTGATGATCTAGTAATCTAGCAGAGTATAGATGACGACCACGGACTATTCTAGACAGTCCAGTGGAACGCTAGCAGGCTCGAAACCTGACCGTGAAATTGGGGATGTCACAATTAACAAGTTAAATGGTTAAATGTGTACAAAAAATAGAAATTGCCTAAATGTGAACAAAACGAAAAGTTAATTACCCTGATAAGTTATTTCCCGCACTTTTAATAGCGATTTTATTTTTCATATTTGTTTGTATTATTTTTCCAAACGTTATTTTTAAAGTATCTATAATGATTGATTATTTATCCCATTTATAGTCTTTTGATTTGACAAATCAATTTTCTACTAATTTCTTTTTAGCAAAAACATATTATCATAAATATTAATTAAATATTAATCAATTCAAAATTTTGTTTTTTAATTAATAAATATGTTTTTCTTGTGAAATATTTTGTATAGCCTCTTATATATTTTTTTCTTTTGTTTTTTTTTTAAATATGGAGGGTTTTTTAAAAATATAAAATGAAAATATTACGTAACAAATAAAAAAAATCTATATAATGTAAATGTTTTAAAACTATCATAATTTTTTTATACTCTTTGATTAGAAGTTTATAAACTATTTTAATTTTTTTTAATATTACATTCTAAACTAGTATTTAACGAAATTTTAGAAATAACTATATGAAAGTTATAAAAAAATTATATGATAATGTAAAAATAAATTAAAAACTTGTAAGAAAATTTTAAAACATTTAAACAATATTTGGTTTAAAAGCAGTTTTAGGAAAATTATATGAAAGTATAAAAAAAAGTCAAAAGAAATTATAAGCAAAGTTTAAAACATTGTATTAGAAAAATCTATAAGAAAAAAAATATCATAAAAATATTGTAAGAAATTATAAAAAGCATCATCATGACAAATTTAACAAAGCATTGGCCAGGGACTCTTCACCATTCTTTGTAACAGTACATAGGAATAGGGCTAGAGAGATGCCAAATTAAACTTTCTTTTTTGCCATTAAAAAACCCACAAGAATGCACAACTTATTTTCATTTTCATGGAACGAAATTAAACCTTCAACTTCACATCTATGTCCATGCTATTGAAGAACTTGATTACAAAGGGATGTAAGAGGGGTATGATAGTGGATTGATAAAAAATAAAGATTTAAAATGATTATGAAATGTTTAAAAGGGTTAAAAATAAATATTCGGGGAAATATGATATTTTAAAAGTTTATAAAAGATAAATATGATATTTAAACCATAGGTTAAACAAATATGAAATTTTGATGTTTAATAATGATATCCCTTCTAACGTAAAAAATGGTTATCCTTCATTATTCTCACTTTTTATATGTTTTAACAAATATATAAGAAATATGATTTATTTATAAATAAATTTAGAATTAATAAAAATCAATTTGATTAATTCAAACTAAATTTACAATAATTAAAAATAAACAAAACTATAACAATAATTAAAAATCAATTTCATTAATCCACTTTGATTCCAAAATTTAAGCAATATGGATGCATTTTGGATTTCAAAATTTGAATATGAATTCCAAAATTTCAATGTAAAAAATATGGATCTACTGCATTTCAATATGGACTACTTTGGATTCCGAAATTTCAATATGGATCCACTTGTGGATTTTGATCGACCATTTATAAATGCTTTAAAATTTTTGACGAGAGAGACGCAATGTGTGTATAGAGCCTTCGCTCTCAATAGTAGGATTAGTTAACTATATTTATTTGTTTGAACCTCTATCTTCGATTGGAATGACTAACTCTATGACATTTGAAATCGCCATATGTTATCTCTTAGATAATTGGATTATAGATGTTGAAAAGTTGGATACATTTTGAAGGGCCAAATGGTAATTTGGTGTAGCTACTAGACTATCTTATGGAAACGACTTTTTCATGTTAAAGGGATATAGTATCAAGTGCAAAAGGGAAGGTTTGTACAATGGAAGTGTTCTGGCGGGTGATGACGGATATCCCCGGTTTTCCATGGACATTCTTTGTTGTCAAAATTTATAAAGAGCATATAAAGGGCTTTTATCTTTCCCTTTACTTGTAGTTGTATATTTTCATGTGCAATTCTAGCTTTTATGAGTGGGAGAACGATATACTATTTCACTAAGCTTTATACCATTTTTATTAGTGATGCATTCCCAACTGATTTAATCAGTTTGATAAATAATTGAATTATGGGAACGACAAACATATGAATTATTGAAGTGGAATAGTTGTATATTTGTAATAAGAGAAAATTTGTTAAATAACCAAAAGGAATGGAGGGTTTGAAGATTTTGACCATAAAAAAAATCGATTTTGGTAAATGACCATCACTTCTGCAGAGGGTGCTCTGCGGAAGGCTTAATCCTTATGAGGAAAGTGAATAGTTCTGCGGAAATGAGGTGGAAAGGGTAACATTGTAAAATCACACCAAAAACCGGTTCTCACTTTGTTGGCTGCGGAAGTGACGGATTTTTGGAAGGGAGGTTGGGGCTTTGCTGCGGAACGATGGGAAGAAGAACAGTTATATGCTTTTTAGGGTGTTTCCTAGGTTAATTGATAAGAAACAGTAATGAAATCCCGATTTTTGCCATGGTTAGCCGAAGAACAGTTCCTCAGAGGTGTGCTGATGAAGAACAGATCCGCAGAGCCTCAACAACCTTTCCGTAGAGCCCTTTCTGCGAAAGTATGCAACAAACCGTTTTTTTGTCTTTTTCCCTTGACACCTCAATTCCTCGTTACTATTCACATTCCTCAGAAGGTAAAAGACTTCCGCAGAGCCCTCTCTGCGGATCCCTTGGTCATTCTACAAAACTCAAATTTTCATGGTCAAAATGTTCAAACACCCCTTCCCTATGGTCATTTGATGAAATTTCTCTTGTAATAATTTCGTAAAAGTGCTGAAATTGTTTTTAGTCTTCCATTGTAGGTAGCTAAGACTATCCACATTGGTCTTTTAATTATCTCACATTAACTTTTGCAATTACCTTTTATATAATAAACAAATATTAAAAAAAAAAAGTGTGACATTTCAAATAGCCTTGCAGCAAGACTGCAGTTTATGCGACACTAGTAAGAAATAGAGGCCTACCAACACTTTATCAACCATTTCTTAAAAATATATATATTCATAAATAGTTATTATGTTTATAAAATAGCAACGCGGTTTTTGATTTTATTTTCCACGTACTCATTGTAGTTTAGGAGATGGTTGAATTAAAAAGAATTTGACATTGTTGAATCATACAGGTTTACTAGAACCATTTGGAATGTATAATAATAGTTGAAGATGTTTATTAAAACTATACATGCTGTGTGATTTCTAAAAGTATTAAAAAAAATTTATAGATGTCTAGGGCTCCATGATCTCATAAAACGGAAAAAAAAAACAGAGAGAATTAGATGTCTAGGGTGGAGTCAGTTCCAGTTCCAGATATGATATTCATAAAGGTTTTGGTGGCGTGGCCAACAGCCTGTGAAGTCTTGTTGGCGACCCCAGCAACAACCGGTTGTATTGAGATGACCGGAAGGCTTGCTCTTTCCTCGATCATTGCTGTTTTTTTACACAAAAACCAGAATATGCTATAAGCCTATTATAACAAAGGCAGGGTGGGTAATAAAGATAAAGTAAAGACTAAAGAGAGAGTTTGAAGTTTGAAGTTTGAAGCGTACACATAGTTTTGTGTCGAGCCAGAGAACCGATTTGTCGGACTCCAGCCTCTGCTGCTTGCACAGCTTGAGCAGACTTGTTTACCCCATCAGAGATCTCCTGGCTGAAATCAAAACTCAATAACTTTTTATTACTGCAACAAATGTTTCAAAATAGTTCGTTCACATAACTAGGAAATTATGTGAACCAAAATCAATATCTAAATAATCTATTTGTGATGACAAGTTAAAAAATTTCATATATAAGTGGTTAAGTGGTAACCTCAAGTCACTAAGCTCGAGTGTAAGATCACTGATTTCCATGCCAGAGAGCCTGATTGCAGCCATTGTACTAGGAAGTTCCTCACGAGCAGTATCTGCCAACTTTGCAAAAGAAATTGCAGCTCTACTCATCGCCTGTGCGTATCACAAAACACAAATTCACAGCTTATATTTCAGGGGAAAGTTGCAGATTTATGAATCTAAAAAAGTTCAAGTACAATGGCACTTATCTTCTAATGTAATAATTGTTGTGCCTGAAAAGTCTTATAAAGCATCAACACGCATTTTCAGTTAAGGGTATCCTTCTACAGAATTATAGATTGGCATAGGGCATGTTTTAGCCACACTGCTTGTATAGTTCTTAGTTCTAATCATTCATATGGCCACCTATACTGAGCCCATGTTTCTCCTTTTTTTTTTTCAAAACTTATGATGGAACACTTGGGGAATTAGGACAAAAATAAATGAGTGAAAATTTATAAAAAGTTAAGACTTAATGGGAAAACCTTGCTTTCCTAACTTTCGTTGAGTTACTCTTTTTGTATTAAGTCAAAAAGAAACATGCATACATAGCTTACCAGATTAAGTCTTGTCCCCATTAAGTCCAACAAGTAGGAAAGAAACAACACCCAAGTATGTTTGTATATGACTACTAATTAAGATATCCCTGGTTCAACCAGAAACATTACTAGAATGATGAAAAGGTTCATGAAATCAAACTCTTTTTCTTATGTACTCCTATTTGATAGATGAGTAATAAAAAAGACAATGACTTCTCTTTATAAAAGATATTATCAAATCAGTTGACAATTTTTTTTCCTGCTAATGCCAAAGAATTATCTCCAAAAACACATTTTGTTCAAGTTCAACCAAATAAACCACATGAATAAAATAACATCCAAAGTGGCCTTTAACAAGATTGCAGCAAACAGCATAAGTATCTTCATAACAAAACAGGGAAAGCCAAAAACTTACATATAGTGTTGGAACAGCTGCCATAACAAAGCCAGTGAATGCAGCTGTAGCCTGCATACCATATATCATTCATTAAGCTAAAAACCAATACTTTATGATCTTATCAATAACAAGAATCTAATTCCCATCAATTTTATTTGTTCCAGCCCTAATTGATAACCATGAAAATTAAGTTCTTTCTTTCTTTAGGGCAATTTAAGTAGTAAAACTATTTATCAAACGAATTTGAAAGAACCATCATATTGCCAGTTCGATTAAGCAAAGTAAACTCAATTCAAGCATCAAGTATTAAGTGATTAACCCCAATCTGTTGAAAATAAAACCCAGTACTAAGAATGTATAGAACTTCGTGGAGTCGTTCACCAATAAAGTTTAAATAGATATTCAAAAGAAATTCCATGTCAAGCACGATTCAACAGACGAAACATAACCCAAATTTTGGAATATCACAGATAACAGAATTACCATCGACCAATAAGAAGAATTACCGTGCAAGCGATGAAGGTTAAAAGAAAGAAAGCCTGATCGCTTAAGCTTAATCTAGCCGGAAAAGGATAAGACGGAAACTTAGGATTCCCAACTTCAACCTCAAAGTTCTCGATTGCAACATCGTCTTTAATAACAAAATTTTCCTTGGGGACTTTGAAATTTACAGTGGTAGGAGAAGGAGTCGAGGAATTACAACGAACGGAGAAGAAACGAAGAAACGGTGGTGATGGTGTAGAGATAGACACTAGAGAGAGAATATGGGTCCGACGGAGAGAACAAAGTTGAGTGGGAAAAGGGGAACGAGGAGTGACAGAAGTGGGTTTCATTATTGATTTGCGGGTGTGTTGTGATCTTGATTTAGGGTGGAGCGAGGTCGTAAATTGGTAGGGCTAAATTGGTGGTGAGGCGATCGTCTTCATTTTAAGCCGACGGCAGAGGAACACTACGTGCCGGTGCTGGTGCTGGTGGTTGTTTCTCCATAGTCTAAAATGAAAATATACGGACATACATGGAACTAGGGAACTATGAAAGTACTACATGTGTTTATATTGGTATAATTAACTATGTGTCATTGTGTAGGTCCTTATATACGAAAGAAACAAACGTATTTATTATTGTAATTTAATAATTTATAATCACATTCATTACATTTGATAAATACATTAAATATATAAATAAAAATATCATGTGACTTATTAATTTTAAAAATTAAAAAAAAAAATCTAAAATTACAATAAAATGAAAAATATCAAAACTTATAAGAAATTGACACGTGACATAAAAAAACTTAATTTGGTAGAGTAAAAATGACGAAAATTGGAAGAATATTATGAATCAATGACTATACTAAACTTACCTAGAAATTGTAAGGGTCTTTCAACGATAATTCAATAAATTCATATGAACAAAATAGGTAAGGAAAGAGTGGTATTGTAGTTAACAGAGAAGGCGAGGGACGGTACTGTGGGGAGTAGGTGGTCGTGAGAGCGTCTCTGGTTTCTGTTGTGAAGAACAAACTAAGATGTTTTCTTTAACTTCAAAATAAACATATATACATCAAAAGGCGGTGAGAAATATGGAAACCATCTATTAGTGGAGAAGATGGTGCTCCAAATTCAAGCCGAAGCCGATGAAGCTTAACCGGAATATGAAGGATTATTAACGATATTAAAGATATTAAAGATATCTTATAGAATCCCTTAAAATTAGGAATATATTTTGTTGTATTTATCGTTTCTTGTATTTTCTACACTCCGTGTATTATATATTGTTAATGAAATATCTTCCACAACATGTTGTGATTTTATCAAACCCTACATGGTATCAGCCCAACTTTGATCCTTCTCGTCGCGTTTCTATTCTTCTTCCTCATGGTTGTTAGCGACGATTCTTCCCTTTCCATCTCCATCCTTCTGCACATGCTTACCATTAAGCTATCTTCCAACAACTACCTTCGAGACTTTGCTCGACATCCGACTTATAACCGGTTTCTTCTATTTCGAATCCTATACCACCTGTGCAACCCCCGATATTACAAACATAAGGTAATTCCCCGTCTCAAGGTGCATGATGCGTAATTATTATACCTACTATTTTTACCAACTATCTAACTAACTATTACGACTAAGGCAGTGGACTTACTCGCAAATAATATAGCACAAACAATCTGCTCGCTTTGGCCGTCAATCTGGGGGTGGTACGTTGTACTAAAAAGCAGCAGAGTACCCAACTCCTCATGAAACTTCATCTAAAATTTGGAGGTGAAACGAACATCCCGGTCCAAAACCACTGAAACTGGCACCCCGTGCCAAACTACCACCTCCCGAACGTAGATGTCAGCTAACTTCTCGGTGGATATACTCTCGACAATCGGTATGAAATGCACTCTTGGTCAATCTATCAACAATGAACCATATAGAATCAACACCACGTGTCGTCCTTGGCAATTTTGTGATGAAATCAATGGTGATCTCTTCCCACTTCCACATGGGAATGGGTAAGGGTTGCATCTTGACGTGGGGTCTTTGATGCTCGACCTTGACTTTCCTGCAAGTCAAGCACTGCTCAACAAACCAAGCTATCTCCCTTTTCATACAGGGCCACCAATAACTCATCCTCATATCCCTATACATCTTTGTGGCCCCGGGATAAATAGAAAACTTTGACTTATGCATTTCCTCCAGAACTGTCTGCCTCACCCCATCCGTCGTCGGAACCCAACCTTCCTGATCCGCTCGACCTTCCAATTCTCCTTTTTCAACCCCAGCCTTATTGATCAAATCGAACAAAGAAGAAGTGACAACCATCCTCAAAAAGATATCCCTGATAGATGAACTCACGGCCTTGCGGCTCAAAGCATCAACCACCACATTGGCTTTCCCAGGGTGGTACAAGATCTCGCAATCATAATCCTTTACCACATCCAGCCACCTCCTCTGCAGCATGTTCGAATTCTTCTGGTCCATCAAATATCTCAAACTCTTGTGGTCAGTGTAAACAACACACCTAACTCCATACAGCTAGTGCCTCCAAATCTTAAGGGAAAAAACCACAGCCCCCAGCTCCAGATCATGCGTAGGATAATTCACCTCATGAGGCTTCAACTACCTCGAAGAGTAAGCAATCACATGACCCCTCTGCATAAGAACAACTCCCAATCCCGAAATAGAGGCATCACAATAAACCACATATTCATCAATCCCTCGGGAAGCACAAGAATCGGGGCCTCACACAACTTCTGCCTCAGAGTCTCAAAAGCCAACTGTTGATCAGGCCCCTACCGAAAAGTCACATTCTTCTTTGTCAAACGGGTCAGAGGCACTGCAATCTTGGAGAAATCCTGGATAAATCTCCGATAATACCCTGCGCGACCTAGGAAACTCCGAATCTCATATGTGGTCCTTGGAACCTCCCATCACATCACAGCCTCGATCTTGGCCGGGTCGACCAAGATACCCTTCTGGTTGACGATGTGCACCGGAAACTGCACCTCACGCAACCAGAACTCACATTTGGAGAATTTGGCATAAAGCCTCTGATGGGTTTGAGCCAAAAGAACATCATATGTGCTCATACAAACCCTAATGCTTGGATCTAGGTTTCTATATTGTACATGCATTCATCCAAGACTTTCA